TTTGGATTTAATGGTTGATATTCCAGGGTCCTGCCTTCTCCAGAAAGCTGCTCTGTGCCCTCACCTGCCCACTCCATTCTGCTGCTGGCATCCCGGGGCTTCCTCAGTCCCCCTGTCATCTGTGCCCTCTGCTGCTCTCCCCGCCCCATAGCCAAGTGAGCTCAGTGGAGGCAAATCTTGGGGCCTGGGGCCTTTTCTTTCTCTCTCCCAGAGCACACCTGAGCCCAGCTTCTTGATAGGAATCAACATGAATTATAATTGTTTTTTTTTAAAGGTTTTCAAAATTTATTCATTTGAGAGAGAACACACAAGCAGGGGGCGAGGCAGAGGGAGAGGGAGAAGTAGTCTACCCCCTGAGCCAGCCAAGAATCCCATGTGGGGCTCGATCCCAAGACCTGGAAATCATGATCTGAGCTGAAGGCAGATGCCTAACCATCTGAGCCACCCAGACGCCCCTATAATTGTTTACCCTCCCCCCCCATCCTCTGCTGCCCAATACAGATGTCAAGAGAGTGCCCAGTGCATGGAGGGGACCAGGGACCTGGGTCCCAACTCTGTCCCTCATTCACTGTGGCATCACAGGTGAGCTGTTGATTCTCTCTGAGCCTCAGTTTCTTCCTGTGTAAACATAAGGAGCCTCTCCCTCCCCCGAGGAGGGAGTGCTGGAATTGCTATCAAGTGCTTCTTGGGGCCTGGCACTCAGGAAGGGCCGGATGTTAGCTATCAGTAAGATCTAGAACACAAAAAGAAGGGTCCAGGCCCCTTTATCCCACATTGCGGGGAGTCCTTAGAGGGCAATTCTGGGGTGAGGGTCTCCTGTGCTCCCCGGGCTCCTCTGTCAGAGTACTGACTACCTGTGGGCCTCTCCCCAGGCCCAGGGGACAGCAGAGACTGGGCCCGGTTCCACTGGGCCTCCCAGGCCCTGGACCTAGGACACCGGGCTGGGTTCCTGTGGGTCCAAGTCCAGAATTGGTCCCCCAGTGGGATGCAGTGGGGAAGGTGGTCAGTGGGGCTGCCGGTCACGACTCACATCCATGACACCCAGCGAAGCCGGAGGGAAAACCCAAGTGGGACTCCAAATGATATTTTCAGAAAGAACCCATTGAGAAACTCAGAGAAGTCCTATTAATGTGGAAAGCGGGGAACAAGGCTCTCAAGGGGAGTGGCAGGACACGTCCCTTTATTAACAGCAACACCGCCACCACCATATCAGTAATAACTCTACGCCAGCCCCACAACTAATGTCTTACGTGTTATCTCCTTTAATCCTTCAAGCAACTGTGTGAAGTGATTGTTATTCCCTTTTATGGAAGAGGAAACAGACTCAGAGACGTTGTCTCTTGTCCAAAGCAACTCAGAGGTGGAGCCAGAACGCAAACCCTTGCTCTCCAAGACCATAGCGAAGCTTCCTCGGGATGCCGAGCTGAGTAACTGGCCCAGAAGATGGGGAGGTCGGTGGGCACGCACCATCCTTCCTCTCGTTTCCCACACTTGTTCTCTCCTGACGGAGGCCCCGCTGGTCGGGAGCAGCAGGCTCGGGCACATGGCGCTGAAGGAAGACACACAGCCCACCTCCAGGGCCTGCACTCCGGAGCCAATGCCCCCTCCCAGGCAGATCTGCCAGCTGTGACTTCCCCTCCCCTTCTAGATGACTCTGGCAGCTGTCCTTAGGGAGGCCATGGCCCCGAGGGCAGCCCGCAGCCTGGCTGGATCCCTAAAGCTAGGGGAGGTACCTCGGTTCCCCTCAGTGAGCAGGGACTCTGGTGGTGGTTCCCCGTAGTGCCTGCAAACCAGTGCTGGACACCCTCCTCTGGCCCGCCTGTTTCTAATTCATAACCGCTCGAAGCCTGCAGCAGCCCTTTGGGGCTTTCGGCACCAAGCAAGGACCAAATCTGTTTTTCTCTTTCCTGGGGTTAGTCCCCAGTAGCCAGGAGAAATCACAGCCCCTTCCAGGCCAGGCTCCTCCCCACTCCCACCATGTTGCTTCCGGTGCCGCACATGGGGCAGCCTGGTGCTGAAGCTAGAGTGGCCACGGACTGGGCTGGAGCCCACTCCATCACTTCCTGCTATGGACCTTGACCAAGTGACTTGACCTCTGTCAGGCTCAGGGACCTCATCCAGGAAAGAGGGAAAAGGGACAAGGAGAACTCTTCCTTGTAGGGTTGGCATGCAGGTAAGGGGGCTGACCCAACAGTGTACGCTTAGCCCCGGCCCTGGGCCCTGGGCCCCAAACGGGCTGAAGAAATGAGAGACAGAGCCACGTCTCTGGAACAGCCCACTGAGCACCCTGTTCAAGGCAGAATTCTCATTTTTTTCTGACTCACAGCACCCTGTTCTTTTTCTTCAAAAGCACTCAGCCCAGTTTGTAATTATACACATGTTTGTTTACTTGTCCGTGAGAGCCTGGACTGTCTGTTTCCCAGCGCTCAATCCCGAGCGCCAAGGGCAGGAACACAGTAAATGTGGCGTGAATGAATGGTACTCCTTCCCCGGGGCTTCTTGAGGCAGAAGACAACTAGGGCTTTTTGCTTTTTCCCCCCAGAAGATTGGACTTTCAGAGCCCCACATATTCCTCAGCCTTCCTTCAGAGATGATCCCGTGGTGGTACAGCTGGGAGGGCTGGCAGGTACTCCTCTCTGCAGCCACCGAACAGCGGGGTCGGAAGAGCTGGGCGGAGCCCACCATAGGGTCTGACACTGACCTTGTTGGCCATGCTCCTTGATGGGTGACGGGGTCGTTCTGGGACTGCTTCTGCCCTGTCACCCCTATCTGCAGCTACTTGGTCTGGGACCCCAAAGCCACACTGGAGCCTCTGCCAGAGCCCCTTGTCGGCCGTGTCCCCTGAGGCTGGGCCTGAATTTCAGGAGAGGCCTCTCTGCCTTTTTTCTCCAGTCCCATCTCCTAGGTCTCTCCTGCCTTCTGCCCTCAACTGAGACCAGGGCCCCCTGGCCTTGGCAGATGTGTGAGGCTGGGGGAGGAACTTTGAGTCCAGATGTGGCTGTGTGTTTATGTTTCCAGAGAGTGAGGGGTCGGAGCTCTGGACTGGAGCCCTTGGGGGAGGAGGGGTGGTCTGGCTCCAGCCCCCTGCCCCAGCCTTCCCTCCTCCCACCTCCCTCCTCTAGCCTGTGTATCTGGCCCTGTCCTCAGAGCCCCACACTGTTAAGTCCTATAGCATCAGGCTGAGCCATCCTCCAGGAAGGACCCTTCCTCACTCCTCATCTAAAAGTGGGAAGATCAGTGGAAAGATGCTTTGGAATATAAAGATTGTTGACTCCCTGTGACCTTGGCCCAGTTGCAGAGCATGGTGAAGTCATGGTTCCATCCCGTTTAACAGGGACAACACTCCTGCCCTCAGAGGCAGTGCTGACCTGGTTTCAGAATGTGTGCACAGGGCTCTCCAGCTAGCAGCTGGTGATTAGGCCTATGGCTGGGCCCCCCTCCCATCTGGGGCTTGCCCAGGGGGGTCCAGCTCCAGGGCAGCGTCAATCCCAGTCACAAGGTGAGTCTAAAGCAGAATACCAGCCCCTCCTCCCTCCCCCACTCCAGCTGCAAACATTCTCTTTTGCCATTGGAAGTGAAGGGACTTAAGGGAAGCAGAATTTTACAGGCACTTTACAGGCTGGTCTTGTTCAGTAGTTTCCAAAGCCTGGGGAGGGTGGAAGCGGCATCAGCCTCCTTCCCATACCTTGGGGTGGAAGGGAAGTGAGGCGTTAGTTCCCTGTGATGGACACTTTCTCCAGCATAGCCTTGCCAGATGCCCCTGAGTGGGATTTCCGCGGGAGGGGGGGGGTGAGGGAGGCCCTGGCGGATCCCGCATCCTCAGTTCCCCTGGAACAGCTAGGGCAGGGCTTCAAGATAGAAGTACGGGGGCCACAGGAGAAAAGGCAACTCCAGGACTAAAGGAGTTCTCAGCGGCCTTCACCCGGACTCTCCAGGTGGACAAGGGCCACAGAGCGCTCCGAGGGCTTGGGGATCCCCGCCGACCCAGCTTGGAAAGAGCCTGCAGAGTCGGGCAGCCGGGGAAATGGGGTGCTGTCTAGGGCTGCCGAGCACAGAGCACAGCCCGGAGGCTGTGCGGTCCAGCCGGGGAGCACCTGGTGGGGGCGGAGAAGGAGTTCGGAGCTCCGGATGGGGCCCTCATGGAGTCGGGCAGAGCAGGTCAGGAATCGTGGTGGGAAGAGAGCACCTCTCACTCCACTAGGAGGCGGCCACTTGGCTCTTCTCTCCTTACCCACAGGGCCCACGGTGGCGCCGTTCCCTTTCTACCCGCCTCCCTTCTCAGTGGAATGAAGCAGTCCGGGCCGGCAGTGGTTAGCACGCTTGTACTATGGTTTTAATAGACGTACATGGACAAGTCGATATAGACAGATTTATAATTCTATACAGTCAGTCCGACATACACAGGGACGCTGTAAACAGGGGCGCGGGCCGGAGAGCGGGTGTGCAAAGTGGGCGCGGCGCGGGGGGGGGGGCCTGGCCGCGCCCCGAGCTCTCCCGGCTCGACTCTTGCACGGCAGGCGGTGAGGAGGGGGGCTCTTCGCCGGGCCAAGGGGACCACTTCCTAGCCCAGGAGCGGAGTGGAGATTCCGGGCCTGTGGCGAAGCTGGGTGGGGGGTGGGGGGGCTCCGGGGTGCTCGGAGATGAGCCTGCCCCATTCTCCCACCGCGTCCGCACCGCCAGCTGGGGCTCCGTAGCCTTAAAATAGGAATCCGGTGCTCGTGGCTGCGAGGGCACGCGGGGCACGCCGGCGCCGCGTGCAGCTCCACAGCGAGTCTCCGAACCCAGGCTGGGCACCGTCATCCCCGACCGAACGCCCGCTCCAACTCGGATCCGAATCGAGCTAAGGTACGCTCGGCCGGGCCCAGCTTGGAGGGGGCGCCTCGGTTCCTACCGGGCCCGGGCCGCCCTGCGCGGGCTCCGCGCGTCCAGTTCGCAGGCGCGGCGGGAACGCTGGCTCCCAGGGCGCCCTCTCCGGACCGCCGGCCTCCCGTCCCGCGTCCCCTCCGCGCAACGGTCCGGTCCGCCCGGCCCGAGGGAGCGAACACACACCACCCGCGCCACCCCGAGGGAAATTGCAACTCATCCGTTTTTTTCGCAGCACTTTTCTCCGACGTCTTTTTGTTTTGTTTCGTCTCGTTTGGGAGGGCACAGTGGGGTCCAGAAAAGCAAACACACAACCAGCCCGGAGGTGGGGAGGTGGGGAGGAGAGGGCTGCGCGGGCGCAGGGGGCGCGGCGTGGCGAGGTCCTCCGCGCCGCCCCCGACCCGGCGCCGCGCCTGCCGCGGGCCCGCGGGGCCTGGCGGGGCGGTCAGCTGTTGTACTGGCACGCGTTGAGGCCCGAGGCCGGGCCCTGCAGGCCGCCGTAGCCAAACGACGAGTGCTGCTTGGACTTGAGCCGCAGGCTGGCCAGGCTCGAGTTGCACGTGTCCCGGTAGACGCTGTAGGGCGAGGCGGGCGTGCCGTATGGGCAGGCGCCCGGCGACATGGCCGAGTTAAGCGAAGAGCCGGTGAGGTTGTTGATGTTGTTGAGGCCCGAGTTGGGCATGCCGGGCACGGCGCCAGGGCCCATGCTCGACGGCATGGTCATAGAGGAGATGGAGCTGGGTGCCGAGAACATGGACTGCGACGACAGCGGGCTCATGGAGTTGAAGAAGGTGAAGCTCTTGGTGGAGAGCGGCGCTGGCGCCAGGCTCTTGGCGGCCCAGTTGTTGTAGGAATAGCCAGCGGCGTACACGTCCTCGTAGGGCTGCACCAGGCCGCTGAACTGCGGCACGTAGCCGCCCTTGCACAGGTCCAGCTGCTGGTTACGCTCGCGCTTCCGCCACTTGGCTCGCCGGTTCTTGAACCAGACCTGGGGGAGGGGGCAGGAGAACGGTCAGGGCTGACGAGGGCGGGAAGGCCCCTCCACCTCCACCACCACCCCATCCCTCCGCTGCCTCCTCCTCTCCGAATAGCGTCTCTTTTCTTCGTTATTTCCGCCCCTGCGGCCGGCGCTCCTTAATGGTTCCTTTCCTGTCCCCAGAAAACATTTCGTCTTTTCCCCATTTCTGATCTACATCCACTCCCCTAAGTTAAATCTGATGGCTTCTCCTAGTACGGATCGATCCTCTTTTGTTTTAGCAAATATTCGTTTGCTTTTTCCTCTCTCAACAGTCCATCTCCGGCCTTCTCCCCAAAAGGGGTCCCGGTGTATCTCCTAAATATTCCGTTCTTTTTCTTCGCCCTCTAATGTAAAAGGTATCTTTCTTCCCTGAAATGTAGGGTCTTCTGACTCCCTTTATTCTACTTCTTTTCATTCCTCAAATAGTCTGTATTCATATTTATTGGGAACATTTGATATTCTCATTTCTGCCCTAAGTGTTTATTTTCTTTTGGTCCGCCCTGCTATCTGAACTGCTTTCTTTTCCCTCAGTCCATTTTCTCCGTTATCCTTCACTTTTGATCCTTTTGATTCTTCCCCAAATAGTTTTCCTCGTCTTTCCAAATATCTGACCGTTACTTTCTCCTAAATAGTTGATTCTTTATTTTTCTCAAACATCTGATCCTTTTGCCCTCCCTTAAATATTTAATTTCTTCCCTGCCACCTAAATATATGCCAAATATGTTTCTCTGCAAATATTTAATTTCCTTTCACTTCTTAACTAGTTTCTCTCTAATCTCCCCTCCACTTTCTCCCACAAAATTTAATAAGAACTTGTTCTTTACCAACTCCTGGTCCTTGCCCATCCTCTCCTATCCTCCTGTGCATGCCTTCTATCCTCTGAAGCCCTCCTCCAGCCCTGGGCTGAGTTTCCTGAGTGAGCCTGCCGGACCCCTGCATCTCAGCCTTTTCTAGTCCCGGGCACTGACATTGCCTGATTCCACCCCACACCACCCGAATCACCATAAACCTGGGCAGGATTAGTGAGTTCAGGATTACTGAGTGCTGTCTTCACTCGCGTCCCACTGGGCTGGCCAGCCTGATGGGAGGGGCGAGAGCTTGCGTTCTAGCAGGGAGTCAGTAGGCCAGGTAGCACTTTGGGCTCGCTTGGGACGTCCTCCCAGTATCTGATTAAATATTTGCGTACTCGGAAAAGAAATGATTCTCTTGCTGCTCTGGCAACATAACCTCTTCGCTCTTGATTTCACTGGGAAGGAAAAGGTGAGGAGAGGGAGGGTGCAGTCTGGTCACGGGTCAGAGATCTTACATCTCCAAAGGGACTCGGCCTGAGGGTCACTCTTCCATCAGAGCTGCTCCTCCTTCACCTGAACCCAGCCCTACAGGAAAGGGCCACAGGGAAAGGGTCCAGCTCCCTACTGGCTGACTGGCTGTAGAGGAGTAGCAGCCTGTGTGGTTGGGATCACTGCCCCAGGAGTTTCTGAGCCTCCAAGCCTAGGTACTGTTCAGGCCTCTGCCAGGTGGCTAGGCAAGACGTGCCTTTCCCTTTCATTTTCGGGAGAAGGTGCCAGCAGCTCCGAGGTCCCCATCAGTGGGAATCCTCTGTGCAGTCTAGGGCAGTCATATCCGAGTGGGCCCTGGGCCCTAGAGCACAGGGGAAATCGCCCCTGGGGCCACAGATTTTAGGGTGAAGCTAAAGCAGAGCCCCAGGGTCAGGTAGGCTGCCAGGCGGTGAGGGCACTAACCACCAAAGGGCTTAGCAGCAGCCGGGAGACCGGGCCTACAGTGGAATCTTCTCCCACGGAGGGAAGGAGCAGGTCTGAGTGGTGGGACAGAGACAAAATCTGAGCACGGGTCTAAAGCTTTCCGAGGATGGCGGCAGAGGTGGCCAGCAGCCCTCCGCTCGGTCGCCTTAGGCACACACGCTGAGCTCACCCGCACGCGCGGCTCGGTGAGGTTGGTCCACACCGCGATCTCCTCCCGCATGCTCATGTCGGGGTAGCGGTTCCTCTGGAACGTGGCCTCCAGCTCTTGCAACTGCTGGCTTGTGAAGTGCGTGCGTTGCCGCCGCTGCTTCTTCTTCTTGGCCGGGTCCTCTGCGCCGCCGCAGCCCGTGCCTCCTGCGCCGCTGTCCTCCGGCCCTTTGACTTCCCCACTGCGCTCCTTCTCTGAATCGGACAGGACAGGCCCCAGTCACCTTGGGCTTCTGCCCTTTTGCACCCATCCCGGCTCCACCGAAGCGCCTACCACGAGCGCTGGCATGCCCTTCCTCCCGCCAGGAGCCCTAGAATTGTCCCCACTGGAAAGAGCCTGCTGGGGGCCAGATCGTCAGTAGTCACCTTTGGTCAGACGCGCCCCAAGAGCCCAGGAACCGGAGGCACAGGCCGAGGCTCCTGGCTGGGCAGAGCCTGCTCTTGCCGCTCCGCTGGGGCTTGAGCCCGTCTGGCTTTGTCACCCGCATATGTATGAAATTTTGAGGGCTCTTTGGGGTGTCAATCTGGAGGGGCTCTGCTTTTCTGAGCCAGGACCAAATCTTTCCAGCCTGAAGCTAGTGGGTCGGTAGAGCTGGAGCAAGGCCATGGCCTGCAGCCCCTCCACCTTCTTCTCCCCAGGGCTGTGTGGGAGCCACATGGGCAGGCACAACACAGCTGTGTTCCCGGCCTTTGCTCCAGGACTCAACTCCAGAGGCCCAGAAAATCCCTCAGGCGGCAGCCCAGACCAACAGACTGTCTAGGTGACCTGGGGCTCTAGCCTCTCACTCTTTACAGCTACGCAAAACACGTTCAGTCAGACACATGGAAATAAAAAGACAAAATTTAAAAACAAAACAGAGAAATCCAGATAAACTCAATTCTATCCTAAAACCATGGAAAGGCTCACAAAATCTTAAAAAATAGACAGGTAGGAACACAGGAAACGCAAATTAAGAAGCCTGAAATCTCCGTGCAAACACACCCCTAACTAAATACAGTGCTGTAGGTGTAAAAACTCCAAGCAGACACAGGCATTTATTTCTCTGGGATTTTAAAAAAACCAATGTACTGTTGTAGATAGATTTTTTAACCCCTTCCTAATAATGCCCTTTCTAGAGATAATTTTTAAGTCCCAGGGAAATACAACACTATAGAGTTAGATAATTTAAGTTATCAAAATAACACCGCTGCAAATAGGTTTTGAAAAAAAAAAAAAATCCCGGAGAAACGCGCCATTTTGGATTGACTTTTAAAACATCTCCCCAAGAATAATGTTGCATGTAGAGATTTTAAAATTCCAGAGAAATATGCCTAGTGTAGTAATTCTTTCTACACCGAAAATTACAGTTAAAAAATTAAATATACCCACGTAGATTTGGTTTTAAAAAGCAGTCTACCGCTGTATATTCCTCTGGGTTTTAACAAATAAAAACCAACCAAAGGCCACGCTAAAAACTCTTGAAAACAAAAGTACAGTTCCGCGTTGATTGTTTCTTAGCCAAGCAAACAGAACTTCTCAGAGAAAGTCACTTAGGGATGCAAAACAGAAACAAATAGAGATTAAAAACGCGTAGAGATACACTCAGCGGTGGATTAAGAAATGAGCACAGCAGAGGCGCCCACGGAGCAGGGAGCTCTGCCGGGGCGCCGTCTGCGGGAGCCAAACCGGGACCCCGGGGGCCGGCACCCGCCGACGATTAGCCGCGCTACGTAGCCCGCACCGCCCACCCGCCGGTCCAACTCGCAGCCGGCCTGGGGGAAAAAGCCTGAGCTCGGACAAAAAGGCAGCGCGGAGGGAGACGTGCTCGAGCCGAGTCAGGGCCCTGGCTGGGCGCCTGGCGGCTCCGGGGTCCCGCGGCGCACATGGGGCCGGGCTCCCTCAATGCGGGGGTCCTACCGGGTACGCACCCCTTGGCCCGTTCGCCCTCGCTGTCCTCTGCCTTCTTTATATTTGAGGTTGTCCACCGCCATTCCCTTCAGTTTTTCCTGGCTTTTCCCGCCGCGCCTTCTCTTGGATTTCTCCCTCCTCAGTCTGTCGCCCACTGCCTGTCGGGGTGTGTGCCCCCGTCTCTGTCTCTCCGGGCACTTTCTCTCTCGTCCGCTGCCCCATTCCTTTCTCGATCTACTCCTCTCCGGCGGTCTGAGCGGCCCCTGGGCACCCAGTTACGCAAACGGATTTTTCTTTTCCTGTTCTCTTTGCTTCTGAACAAGAGGGGCTGTCAGTCCGACCCTCCCGTTGTAGGTTTGTGCATCTGGCGCGTGGGGACCGGGTGGAAGTAGAGCACTGAATTTCGTTTTATAAAGCGCGTAAATTTACGCGTTCACCCTCAGGCCGAGAACGGGAAAAGAAAAGGGTCTGACGCTCCTGGGTGTAGAGGGAGCCTGACTGCGCGGCGCGGGCTCCAGGCCCTGCTTCCCGCTCCCCGCTCCGTGCGCCCGGCTCGGCTCGGTGCGCGCCTCGCGGGGAGCCGCGCTTACCTGGCAGCTCCGTGTCAGACGATTCGCTGGCGGAGTTTTCCAGGGGCTCGCGGGGGTCGGCGGCGCGGGCCAGGTGGAAGGCAGGCCCCATGTCGTGCGGTGGCGGCGGCGGCCGGAGTCCCTCCGGCAGCCGCTCCAGGCTCATGCCCCCCTTGAAGGCGTCCATGGAGGCGGGGACCGCGGCGGGCGCTCCAGGGGCCGGGGCTGGGCGCGCCCGGCCGCCCTGGCTGCGACCTGCGGGGACAAGAGCACAGCGCCTAACTGGCTGCCCCCCAGGGCTGCCCGCGCCCGCAACGACGCCGCGCCCGCCCCATGGACCGCCTGGGGCTGCGGGGCCAGGCGGGCGGCAGCGGCAGCGGTTTCTCGCGACCGGATGCCCGGCTTCGCGCTCCGCGCTGCGCTCCCGCCGCTCGGGCCTCTGCCGCCCGCCCGGCCCCGGCTCTGGCTCCCGATTCGGGGCCGGTTTCTAAGGCTCCGGACGGCGCCGGCAGAGGCTGTCTTAAAGCGACAGCGCGCACCGCCAGGTTCCAGCAGTCCCTGCGCCAGGGGTGGTGGGTGGGGTGGGCCTGGGTGGGAGGGGGCTGGGGAGGGAGCGAGCCAGCGAGCGAGGGAGCGCGGGCGGAATCCAGCCCCGAGCTGCCCGCCCTCCCTTGCCCGTGCCCTCCCCTCCGCAGCCACCTTCCCGCCGCCTCCCCGCCCCCTCCCTCCACCCCACCCCCCCGGCGCCTCCCCGAGCCGCTCCCTCCTTCCCCGTTGACACACCGACTTCTCCCTCGGCCGCACAAAAGAAACGCATCTGGCCTCCAAGTCCCGCGTGGCTCGTGCCCACCTCAAGCCCCAAATGACTTGTTTTGCTCAGAATCAACTCCTGTCTGGGCCGCTTCGAAGTCCCCAGCCCCCGGCGAGAACAGCCCAGGATGAGAGAATGTTCCCTGAGCAGGATCGCGCGGAGCGGGCGCCTCCGAGCCAGCGCCAGGGCGGGGGCAGAGCCCGGGGCCGGTTCCGGCAGCTCCCAGCGGCGTCCTCGTCGAAGGGCCGCCCGCCCCTCCTTTCTCGGCCTCTTCTCTCGGGACCTGAGCCCGGCTGAGTGACAGCAGCCTGCGTTCTAATGGGCCCCCGGATGCTGCCTCCTAATTAGCTTGGACCCTGTCCTCCAAGGCTGCTTCTCAGGCCTCCCCCTCTGCACCGCAGTCAATTTTCTGGGATTGGGATAGAACTGATGGCTTCTAATCAGATGAAACGTTTCTGTTGGCTCCAGGCCTCTGGCGAGTACAGCAGGAGACCCCAAGAGCCCCACCAGGCCCCGCAGCCTCTTCTGTAGGGCTCCCTCCGCTTGTTTTGCGCCAATCTGGCCAAATCAGCCCGGCCAGGGCCTTGGCAGCCAGGGGATTGGCTTCTGCCCCCTTCAGGGCAGGTTTGCAGCCATCTGGGGCCTCTGCGTGGCTTCCCAGAGAGGCAGGCACCTGGCCTCGCCTGCAGGCCAGGTGCCTGCCTTTTTCGAGCCCTGGGTCTCCAGGCCAGGAAGCCTACCCCCTTTGAGGCTCTCTCTGGTACAGTGGTGGCTGAGCTCAGCTCAGTGGGGCCTCCATGGGTGCAGGCACAGACGTTCCCCTCCCCACCCCAAGAAGGATACCCTTCTGGAGTTCTACTTCAGTGAAGTTTGTTGAAGGATTTTGCCGAACAATTGTTAGCCGGCCCTGAGACCTCAGAGTCTTGAGCAAACAGAGGGTGGGAGAGTGTGACACTGACCACAGCTGGACCCCAGACTGCCCTCTGCTCCTCACCTGCTGACCAACTTCCCCAGATAGGAGCAGCGCTGGGCAGGACAGCACCCCGGGGGAGAAGCACTGCCCTACTCTCCAGGCCCTGCGCCTCACCCCAGGGCCTGGTGCAACCGCATCTCTTCCTCCAGGAAGGTCTCTGCTTGGGACTGACTGTGCAGGCTGAGAGATCTGCGATGTTCTGCAGGCGCTGTCTTCTTGCCCTCACCCTGGCTTCTCACCAGAGGGAGACCCACAGTCTCAGGCTGAGCTGTTTGGCGAGGACTGCAGGGGTCCATGGCCGAAGGGTAGAAACAGGCCTGCTTCTCACTCCCTGAAGCTTAGCCCGAGGCCCCCCGCTCTGGGCCCTGGGAGAAAGCATGGCTCCTTGGGGGTCTGGCGCACTCTCTCAGTGGTGCCTGTGGCCGCAGGGGCAGGGTCGGGGTCTGAGGCCACAGAGGGACCATGTTCTCAGAGGGTTTGGTTTTGGGGAGATTCTGCAACTCCTGCCCTTTCCTCCCAGAGGGGAATTTCTCTAAGTCGTGTGTGTGTGTGTGTGTGTGTGTGTGTGTGTGTGTGTGTGTAGGCGGAGGATGGCAGAAAGGGGGCCTGGGAAGTATGGTTGTCTGGCATTTGCCCTCAGCCCCATCTTTTACCACATTTCGCGGTTGCGTCTCCTGCAGCAGCAGGTAACTCTTTTCAAGCACAGCGTGTGACCCAGCCTGCCTGGGCACAGGCAGGACTCAGGAGCACGCGTGTGCGCGCGCACACACACACGCATGTAGCACGTACAATGTAGGTGTGCGGCACACACAGATGCACACGTACTCACTAAATCCACCCATGGGGCTTCGTATAGTCACCTAGGCATGTCCACAGCCAGACCTCTGGGTTCCAGAACTCTGCTCAACGCAAAATCAGGCTGGTCGGGGACAGGAGCTATGTTCTAAGGCTGCCAGGTGTCAGGCCAAGGTGGGGAGCACAGTGGCCGCTTGGGTGGTGACGGGGAATGAATGGTGCACCTCTGGGTGTCCAGAGGCTGAAAGCTCTAGCCTTCCACTGTCCATGGGGTGTAAAGAGACCATCTTCCACGGATGGATGGAGCGTGTTCTGTGACTCTGAAGCTCTAGCTGGTCCATCTGAGGGGCTCACCTCCTTCACTGTTGATGCATTTAAGGCGTTTATCGAGCACCTGCTGTGTGGTCCAGTGGACCCAAGCCTCTGGCAGTGACCTAGGCAGTCACAGTAGTCCCTCTTTTTGCAAATCTTGATGCCTGCTGTGTGGACCACCAAAAGGCCCTCAGTCAATTTCAGGGTGAAGCTCCATATCGCCAGGGACCCGGAGGCCTAGAGAGGGGCTGAGCCCAGGGGGGGGGAGGTCACTTCCGCTGCACAGCACCCTCCCAATGCTGAATGAGCACAGGGCGAGGAAGAGACTGACCGAGAGGACACCCTGGCCAGCCAGGGTGTTGGCTGGAGAATGGACACGGACAGTTTCTCTTTTTCCCTAGCCTCACCCTCTGCGGGCTGGGAACTATCCCAGGCAGGGAAGGGGCTTCGAGCACACTCACAGACATGCATCATACACACAGGACAGGACGCAGCTCTCTTTCAGGAGTAAAAGCAGGGGTTCAGTGTTCTCCCCACTTTGCCGTCTGACCTTGGGCAAGGCTCGGCCTGCACTGTGCCCCAGTTTCCATGTCTGACTCGGGACTCAGCAATTCCTACCTGCTGCTTCAGCTTCCAGCTTGCTTGGTGATGGGGACGTGAGGAAAGGAGGGAAGAGGGCTTCCTGGAGCTGGAACCATGTGCCCTAGTTCCCATCCCTCCAGGTCACACAGAGCTAGCGATGAATCTGTGACTTTCAGGAAATTTGGAGGCTTGGAGTCCTGGCTGGGTTGAGTGGAGAAGCCTAGGCTGTTGTGGGGTTTGAAGTAGTCCCTATAGGGACCTTTCCTGAGGCCGGGCTCGCTCAAAACAGATTCTGTGCCCAAGAATGGTTCAGTAATCTTATTTGGGAAGAGTGGTTGGAGGGCCCTCACGGAGGGCATCCTTTTGCCCACTTATGGGGGGTACCCTGTCCTAATCTTTGCATTAGAATCAAGGGATTTTAGGAAAAAGGAAGGAATGTGCCGTGGCTTGCCCTCGAGGCCATCCATGACTCTCTGGGACATTCCAACCCTAAGCCTCTTAGGCTGTGGAGAAGTTCAAACTAGAAAACCCAGTTTTGGGAGTGCATCTGGGACCACCTACCTCCTTCTGTCTACTCTACCCCCTCTCCAATAAAAGCTCTTGTTTCTTTGAATACAAGCAATTACTGGGTGAAGGGGGAAAGGGGTGCTCAGGTGGGGCAGGGAACCATCTCACTGGATTCTCTAGGTTTCCAAGGATCCCAGCTTGAGCCTTCCTGACACCTGGGCTTCCCCAGCCTGTCCTGGTGCAGAAACCTGGGATGTACTCAGGCAGGATGGCTGAGTGGGGTGCCTATGGAAGCATGGAACTCGGAATTCTGGCACCAGCTGGCAGGGCTGGCCTCATGGCTCACGGAGTCCACTCACTGGTCGTTCTCTGGTTCCTGAGAATGGCTGAGCCGAGGGGCGGAGAAGGCTGGGCGAGTAGCCGAGGCTGGTCACGCAACTTGGGAGCAGAGGGTCAGCTAATGCCATTACCCCTGCCTCCTCTTCCCAAGACCTGCTTTCCTGAGAGAAGGGCACTCTGAGTATGGCCGGAGAAGCAACAATGCTTCCCCTGCACCCCAGAGTCCTGGCAGGCTGGTCTCCATGCCCCTGTCTGCCTCTTTTCTTTTCCGAGCAGAGGTAAAGAGTTCCAAGCAGTATGAGGAAAGGGGAGGGAGCCGGCGAGTCCCCCCTCCCCTGCTGCCTCTGCAGCCTGTAGCTTTAACCATTACCCTAGACCTGTGTCTTTGGCCAAAGGGACAGCAACCTGGGATTGCCTTCCTCTGGGCCCAGTGGCTGTCAGAGGCCCCTGGGTTGCCAACAGAATACCCAAGCCTCAGTTTCTCAGAAAAGTGGGCTCAAATATTTTTAGATTCAGGGAATTCCTGAATCGGAAAACCTTGGAACCGGATTCCAGCCTGGGGTTCCCATTTCTGCGATGCCGGCCTCGGGGCCCTCGCTTGACCGCGGCTGAAACGGTTCAGAGCCGGCTGGTCAATTTCAGATTTCCAAGACCCGGTTCTAGAGAAGCGGCTGTGTGCCGGGGAGCCCTGCGTCAACAACCAAACCCCGGAGAAGCCGCGGGAGTGTCTTTATTGGATTTTGCGAAGAGCATTTGGGGTTTCTGTCTGGGTAAGAAAAAGCCCGACTCTTGCGGGCGAGGGCAGGCCGCCGTGGGCTGGGGGCGCCTCGGAGCACGGCGGAGGGACGTCGGGGTCCTTGGCGAAGAGAGCCGGGGCTCTGGCCGGTGTCTGTTGCTTTTCTGCGGCATAGCCGCCCGAAGGAACCAACGAACCAACGAACGAAGCGGTGTCGTTTAGAAAAAATACCCTCTTGACGCGAAGCTGCGGCTCAAGTCCCCAGGCGTGCAGAGGGGCCAGCGCTTTCGCTCGTGCTGGGGCCCCCATTCCGCTGCGCAACGGGAAGCGGCGGGCGGCCCTCTCGCCTGCCCTTTCTCCTAGAGGTCCCCGGAGGCCTGTGCCTCCGCGAGGGGCTGCGAAGGGCGTCCGGGGCTGTGCCCTTAGCAGGGCTGGGGCCCGCGCCCCCGGGGCTGCTGCCCTCTTGGGGTGCCTAGAGCCGAAGCATGGGGTGGGACCGCCAAGTAGGTGAGGCAGCGCTCCGCGACGGCAGCTGGGCCAGTGCGCTGGGCTCAGGAGCGAGTCCTTGCGCTGCCTCGATGGCGCCCGGACTCCCGGGCGGTGCGCTCAGTCCCGCGCCACCCACTGGACCCCACAAACGCCTGGAGCAAACATTGCGGAATCCGCCACCGCCTCCTTGCGCCCCAACACTGCGGCGACCCAGCGCCCCCAGCCCAACAACTCTTACCCCACGCGGGTTGCGTTGCGTGTGCGGCTCTTCGGCTCCGGGCTCGCTAGCCACGGACTCCG